TTAACCTGTTATCTGCATAACTTCTTATTCTTGTACTCGATAAAATCTCTCCACCCTATCTGGATTTGGTATATAGATACCATATTATGTATATTATTTGAACATGCTACCATCTGGCTGCTTCTCTTCTTTTTTTAACTCTAATGTTTGTGGCCGCTAGTGCCTCTTCTATTGTCTGAGGTGAAGTTGTGTCCTTTGTTGCCGTGATTCTTCTATAGGCCATTTCCCATATATCCTTGCTTACTGTGCAGCTTATCGTAAAATGTTCTTTTGTCTAACTACTTTCTGAACACCAGTAGCAGGAGCCGTCGTCATTCTGATTGATATGTCGAATTCTGTAGCCTAGTGGAAGGGCGCCATAGTATAATCACCAGCATATATCTAACTTTTTATTAAGGCACTCCCTTTTATGCAGCCATTTAAAGTTTTCTTCTGGGTATGACCCCCCTTTTTTAGAGTTATTTGTGGTATTTGCATTGAGTTTATGGACTAGCCATTTCACGGTAAGGTCTTTACCTCCTATTTCATCTACTTTTAAATTGTCCAAATCCTACGGCCAGTTACCAGAGGCAGAAATAGACCCACCTAACTTTTGCCAGGTGTGAACATGGGCCCTCCATTTACTTGGCGACTTTTGTACTTATTGGGGAGGTTTTGAGCACTTGTAATACACTGATGTTTCTCTGGGTCCGAATTTTATTTGTAATTTTTTCCCTTTCGTGTTTGGCCCAAGTTGTGTTACTTGTACAGAGTTGTTTCCATATCATTACCAGCCTGGCTTTTAGTAAGTTTTGTATGACTGGGGCACCCAGTCCGCCTTCTTCATAGTTTTTCTGAAAGGTGGCATACCGAGGGAGCATCCTAGAGTTTTCTTTGATCCACTTTACTATTAGATTGTTGATTTCTGCACACTGTTTTCTATTTGGTGTAAAGAGGTATGCGGCATACCATATCTTGGAAAGCACTAATAATTTGGCTAGTATAATTTTACCTCTGAGAGACAGGTTTCTTCCTGCGAGTTTGTTGAGCTGAGAGTCCATCTTCTTTATGATATCTGGCCATAACTCTTTTCTGGCTTGACCATTTCTGAGCACCTCAAATCCCAAGATTTTGAAGGAGTGTAGTTCTGTGATCTTGTTAAATTGATCCTCGTCTGGTAGAGCTATTCTATCTGCATTAGTTGTTAGAGAGATCAGTTTGGTTTTTCTCTTGTTAACTTTTGCATTAGATGCTTTCTCATAGACCTCAATTGTGTTGTTTAATGATTCCCAGTCTGTAAGAGATCCAATTCTAATTGATAAGTCATTGGTGTATGCTGCGAATTTGAAATGTTGAGTAGCTAAAGGAATTCCTCCTAGGTTTTTCTTGAGCTGTGTAAGAAGGGGTTCGAATGCCAGAATATACAACAAGGGAGAGAGAGAATCTCCCTGTCTTACTCCCCTTCCCACCCTAAATGATTTGGAAATTTCACTGTTACCGATTATTAGTGTTTCCTGTTTGTTGAAGAGGTTTGTAATTAATTTTATGAAAGGTTCACCAAAGTGTATCTTTTCTAGGGATAGTGTAAAGAATTTATGGTTAACTCGGTCAAAGACCTTGGCCTGATCTACTAATAATACCCAATATTGGTCTGTTGATAGTCTTTCATTTCTTAAAGTAGAGATTATGTTCATCATAGCATCTGTGATATATCTCCCTTTAATGAATCCTGACTGATGTTCAGGTATAATGCTACTACATATTGCATTTAGAC